TCTCCAGTAGCATAGCAGCAGAGAAATAGTTCCCATACTCCTTCCGTTGTAGATTGTTCAGGCAGTCTTCTCACCTGCGTTTTAAATTTCGAAGTTATTTTATACTTTTCATACTCAGGTATCTCTCCTTAATACGCTATTTTTTTATCCTCAGAACAGATAAAATGGAAACAGAGATATTGGATAGTTTTAACTAATTATATTAATTAATTAAATCTACTATTAGACAGTTTTATATAATTATATTAATTAGTCAAAGCTACTACTAAATTCTACTTAGTTACTAAATAAGTTAATTATTTGGATCTTTTGTCGTCTTATCATGAGCTTTGAAATTAACGATGGTAAATTTAATTGATAAAATGAAAGGATACGTGAACTTCATTCAGACAGTCGATACTTATCATCGGTAAAACATCTTAAATATGCGAAAGACTATAAATTTTAACTATCATAATTTTTTTCTTAAAACTTTTCCTTCGGTTAAATTAAACTGCCATTCTAGTATACCCATATTTACTATTTTTATTCGTAAATATAAAAGTAGCGCACACATTAAATGGCAATATATTGCCAAGATCATTCAATAAAATATTGTCTTAATTAAATCTCAGACGAAAATTTCAGCTGACAAAGATTTAGCAATCTACGATTCCATAATGCTATAAAATTTTGGATTCGCTAAGATTTACTAAATTCAAGACTGTAGAAACATTATGTTACTTAGAAGCAGGAGATGTGAAAAATGTGCATCGCCTTCGCTATGTCTTCAGCCCTGGACGTTTCGACAATTGGAAGCGTCGAGTTTGCTTCCAACTACACCACGAAGGCATGCGGAAAAAAGGGAAAAATACCATATGTGCTTCCCCTTTTAAAGGGTAACTGGGGAACCCAATCAGCAAATCCAGATGGTGACGAATTATCGCCCACCAACCTGCTAAAAGGTATGTATATCTCTCGCATTGTGAAAAACCAATGGTACATACAGCCATCAGATTTTGAATAACGAAGCCCTCCGTCCAAATATGAGAACCTGGAAGCCCAAATTAGGAATTTGGAATTTGTTTTATTGCCTGTTTCATACTTCGTAAAATGTTAACGAATATTTGCTATAAAACTCAACGATTTCAAAGCGAGCACTGGCAACTCTGTAGAGAATAAAACATTTTTATATCCATAAATGTTACTGTATGAATAAAACATTTTTATATCTGAAACTGCCTATCAGAAATTCTAAAGATATGCTGTTTTTGAATATTTTCAGCACAAAGTGGCATTAGGCAAATGCTCTAGAAACGTGTAGTGTCTGTAAATGAAATAAACGCCCTTTCGAACTTAATATAAAATCTTAAAACTCTCAGTTTTTTTTTTTTTTCGGGGAAAGCAGGAGATGAGCAAAATGTGCAATATCCTCGCCGAGACTCGTACCCTAGACCTTTTTTTTTTAATACGCGTCGAGTATGCTTCCAATTGCACCACGAAGGCATGCGGAAAAAAGGGGCAAAATACCTTATACGATCATTTCAAAATTTAATAGAACATGCTATGAGAAACAACTTAACGTAAATTTCGAATTTAAAACTCTGGAAGAGCTGTAAGGATTTTAAGTTTTAGTAACGTTTATTTTACTTAAAACTTTGCTATCCTCTCTGATATTCCATTTCCGGCCAGAATAAGCGTGAGTAGGTATCTTATGCTAATGAGTTGCAAACTGTAAAGGTATTTAAGAAACGGTTTTTAGCCAAGAGAGGAGAGATTTTTACCGCGTCTGGCATAATGGACTTACTTTTAAACTCACCACTCTGCCACGCGAGAGTTAATATTGATGATCCATTCCTTTATCACTCACAGAACGTTCACAATCAGACAGGGTCAACATTATTCCACCCCAAGAAACACTGCTGTGGGCGTTGCTCAAGGATCTAATCTAGGGACTTTGTTTTACCTAATGTATGACATGGACTTCCCGATGTTTGATAACAATACTAAATGCATCACTTTCTGCTACGCTGACGACACTGCTATTCTGTATTCTTCACTCAACCGCAGTCATGCAATAACTAGCATCCAGAGCCGAATGCATATAATCGAACATTGGTGCTGTAAGTGGAGAACTCGTATTAACGCAACTAAATCCAAACTCTTGCTCATAGGTTGTCACCGCAAGAAAACTGTGGATGTTGACGTGACATTATTTAATCAAAAAGTGCCTAAAGTCACTCAGGCAACATATCTTGGCGTCAAATTCAACCCCACGCTTACCTGGAATCCTCACGTCATGACAGCCATCGTCAAAGCAATAGGTGTGGCAAGAAAACTTAACAACATTATTATCTCAACATTCACGGTTGATCTCGCCAGGAAACGAAGGATCTATATCTCCATCTTACGCCAAATTCTTGCTTATGCATCCCTAGCCTAGTGCGGGGCTTCAAAATCTGACAAATTTCAGACTTTTCAAAATAACTTTCTTAGAAAAATAACGGTAGCTCCATGGTTCATCAGAAACACTGACCTGCACAAAGACCTAAAACTAGATGACATCAAAACTTACATTAGGAAAATAAATAATAACTTTTATACCAAGGCCACCAACACTAACATTGTTAATTATGCAGATAATTTCAGGTACGAACTCCTGGAAGAAGACTTTAATCTCCGCCCGTATGAAACTCATCCTTTTATATACAGTATCTAAATAATTGGCATATTCCTTTCTATTTTTTCACATTTATTTTATTTTCTCACAGTCTCAATTCTCACAGGCATGGTTCTAATTTCCTTTACTCACAGAGTTTACCACTCGAAGCTCTTCATGCAATTGCCCTACCCAGAGATAATTGAGGTGCTGGTAAGAGCACGATAGATATCGCGCTGAGGCCAGCTTAACTGACAAGTATCAAAGTATCAAGAGAGGAGACAGCGTTCTAGCTGCCCTGCCACGCGAGTGCTTTTTAGTCAGTTCATGTCTGCATTTAAGGCCAGAACTTAGTTCCTGCAGATATACGAGTACTAAGACGTATTGTAAACTTTTGCATTTCGCTCACTATATACGTACTGTCAAAAAGCCAAAAATCGTACGTAGTGTCAAAAGTCTTCGCGTTAATAGTCTCTGTAAAGCATTTTAATTTAGTTCTTATTTAGTTAAGATAGTTTACTTCTTATTTTCTACTTTTTAGACTAAAAGTTCTGGTCTCTGTATCCCGAAGTGCGGGAGCGGCTGTACGCTGTGAGAAATAAAGGGAATAATAATATTTGCGTTGTTTCTTCCTACGCATATACGAACATAGCTTGAGTAAGCTCCCTTTCCTACTCAGGACTCCAGTAACGTTTCCCAAGGCAATTAGAAGGAATAGTAGTCCTGACAGAGTCTGTAGAGTGATTAGACAGCTTTCATCTTCAGAAGCTGTAAGATGACCGTAGAAATAAAATCAGAAATTTTGAAAAAATCACACATAGCAGTATTGACTGATGAGTAAACAAAACGGAAAACATATTAAAATTCGATGGATTGATTTATAGTATTCAAAACATTTTCTAATATGAGAGTACTTTTATGACTACAAGGAACTGCACAGCAAGCGAAGTTGGAAATCATAATTTTCAGAGAACTTAACAAGTATAGTTATTCAGCTTCTATTAAACATTTTGTTAACCATTGGAAGTGTCTTATCTTTTCAAGTTGTTTAGTACAACTTTTATTAAGAACACTTTCAATGATCTGTTATTGAACTGCATAGTACAGATGATCGCATCTGAAATCTATGCAAATTATCAAATCACAAAAAATTGTTTTCCTTATAATAATCTTATAGAAACTGTTGTGTATCGAAGCATGCGTAGTTACGTCTGAAATCAAGTTTTAACTGACCACAAAAACCGTAAATTATAATTTTATGTTTGTACAATGCATCCTTTTTATCTGCCTTACAATCCAAGAACCAGCAAATCAACGCTAAATTTTAAAGGAGATAATTTTTTAAATGTACCATCTTAAACTGATATATTTACCCGATTTTCTTCATTCGAAAAGGTACAGAGAAGTAATTTCATTAGTGGGTTTGAGGTATTCAAGCTGTAGCTTAGAATCTGAGTTTCTTCAAAGAGGTAGCTATATCGTCTCATCAATAATGACAGTTTAGATTTCAAAATCCAGTGACTAAAGTATTTAAAACAATTTTTTGGATATGCCAAAGCAGTTGCATGCAAAAATTCTGACCCTATTTCACGCTTTTTTGTAGAGAAAACAAAGCCGCCCGGCTGGTATAGCTGTTAGTAACGCTATCTACTGTACCGAAAAGCCCGGGTTCGTATCCTGGAGAAAGCAGTATGGTGTCTGTGCGGCAGGTGACAGGTGACGGAGGACGGGGACGCTTGGCGTATAACATAGGTAAACAGGCATATGTCCCACGTCCTCCACTATCTCGAAGAAACAACTCGCTGGAGCCCTATGAGGCTGCACCGGGAGTTTACGTGGCCATACAGGGCCTAGATGTCGGGAGACATTCAAAATACACGGCTAGACGAAAGTACTTTCGAGGGCCTGATGGTAGGGAAAGTGAGGTGGGAGACTTTTGGACCGCCCCCGTAGTGTTCTCCCTCAATATTGGGATGAAAATGTAACAGTTAGGTAGGTTCAGCAACACTTCAATCACTTGTGATAGTAAAGCGGTGGTGTCCTAACTTCTTTCTGTACCCATTCAGAAATCAGAAAGATTTATTCTTACATCTCTTGTGAAAACCTTATTTTAGCGCACAACAATCAACTTATTTCTTGTTTTTGTCTTTTGAATATGCTTAGAATATGGCTAAACGTTACCTCAATCAGTTTCCAACTTAGGAATGCAAAAGGTTGCTGAGATTCGCGCTACTTTCGATACCTAATAGGTTGTTAAGGACTAATATGAAGAAATAATATTTATTATTAATATTTTTTCAGATATTCTACATCTACATGAACTTTACGAAATGCATTACAAAAAATGAAATTTATTTTACAGGTCAATGCGTACGTTCTCCGCGCATGCGCTGTTCTGGAAAAAGCTTCGGACACACGGCCTCAAGGAGAGCCATCTAAAAGCCAAGCCGCGCAACAAGCTGAGGAAGAAGCACGGGAGAAAGAAAGAAAAGCTAGACTAGAAGGTAAACTAAGTTTTGTTTCCCACAGTTACCTTAATAGCTAATTATTAAATACTGTAGTAAAATCAATATTAAATATTCATTGAAATGTGTCTAACTGGTTAGTATAGAAAACATGTTACGTACGTAAATTTTATTAGCCTTTAACATTTGCAAGTCAAGTGATCCTCACATTTGAAATATGCATCCTTACGGAAGTTTCAGAGCGAACATTTTCAGGAGTGGAATACCCTACTCTTGAAATTGTTTGGATAACAAAAGGACATCACAAGAAGATCTTTCCTACAAGAACAAAGCAAACTTCTTATGATATATGATTCTTATGAAACTTCTTATGATTCAATATCCAAAACATGGTTTTAGTGATTGGCGCAATGCTCCTCTATTGATCTTTGCGAAGCAGAAAGCCATCGAGATGCTTTATCTTGATCTATTAACATAGCCTAACCTTGATTTTTGTTATTTCTTCTTTTGTATATATCAGAAAATACAGCGGAACATGAAGATCATTATGACTTTCCTACAGGGAGTACCAAAAGACATTTTTTGTGAAGTTATCGCTAATCCAGAGGATCCCAATTCTTGAAGAGATTATACACCAAGAAGGTGGTCATATTAAAACATTGTCTGCATACCGATTAGCCATGTAGATTTCAATAAGCATTTTATTACTAACTTTTCCTTAATATATTACATATTAAGATATATATATAATATATTTTTTTTATTTTATGGTATTTCTTACATCTCTAGCAACAAATAAGCGCTTTCATTAGACTAAATGTTTCCACAATAGCATGGAACTTAACTTTCAGTATTTAACACGCATGAAACTCTTATCATCCACTTCTGAAAGTTATTGTAATTCTAAAAATTGCTTAATAAAGGCATTTTTTCACAAAAATAATTATAGTTCGTAGTCAGTTTTAAGAAAGAGTCATAATTAATTAGGTTAAAATATATTACTCAAATATAATAAAGCACTTAAGGGATTACCTTCTAAGAGATGTTTACTCACATTCACATTAGACAAGGGAAAACAAAACCCAGAAAGCCTTTACCAACGATTCTTAATGTGTAGTTGGTATCCAAAGGTTAAGCATCATTGAAGTTTATGTGATATTTAAGGAAATCTAAGTCACAATGGCGGTAAACGTGATATGTGTGTGTAATACTTTTATATCATGAGAAAAAATGTAAAAGAAGGCTATTAATCCCTTTTATTATCCAAAAAAACAGTTTTAAAGGAAACAACGCAAACTAACAGTTAGTACTTTAGTGTAAAAATTAAAATAAAATAGTTATTTTGGCAGTTTAATAAGGTATGTATTCGCCTCCGGTAGCCACGCATGCTGCACAAGATTGCTCATGTGTTCCATGAGAGTGTGGATGAGTTGTGACCTCAAACAGTTCCAAGCATTAAGGAGAGATCTTTTCATTTCTGGAGCGGCACTTAGTGGGTGCGGAAAGGCTGCAGTTTGTCTCCCGAGCATATCCCACATATTCTCAATAGGATAACTAAGATCAGGAGAGTGAGTGGGCCACTGCATACGCCGGATCTTTTAATTTTCAAGGAAGTTGTCGACCAGGATCGTACGGCGACAAGGTGCATCATCATCCATGTATATGAATCCAGGATTGACAGCATCTCAAACAGGCGAACATAAAGCTCAAGGACTTCGTCTCTGCACCGTTTAACAGTAACAGACCCCGCGTAGAAGACATGGAGGTGTATGAGACCATCCAGCACACATTTTCCTATCCAGACACAGTGCCTACCCACACTGTGACTCCATTTGAAGGAAAATGATGTCTTTCCGTGATATTTCTGGGGTAAAAACGAATTCCATGTTCTCTCCATATCGTTATCCGACAAAATATATTCAGAATTCACAGTAAACTAGAACTCGTCACTGAAGATCACATTATCCCACTCTTGCAAACTCCAGTGCTGATGTTTCAAAATCCAAGGCGCAATCCAATGCAAATGGCTGGTTGTATCGCATACAGACTAGCGCGATAGCGTCTCTTATAGACAGTTTGCTTCGAAGCTCGTACTTCTGGAGGCTGTAAGAGCCGAACCGAGTTCTCTTCTGACACAACTTTCTTTCTGATGTCGCGCAGTTATTGCCAAATATCAGTCTTTACGAATGCTTGTAACTCTTGGCCAGCCTTCTACTGGTCGTTGGGTAACATATCCTTTACTGTGAAACCTCAGCCACAATCTTGAGATCACACAGTGAGGCACATTCAAAGTTTGAGACACTTCGGTTTGAGATAATCCACAATCTAGTATTCGAAGAACTTTTCGTTACAAAACATGTGCATTTGGCATCTTTGTGTCATCCTTCGGCCATTTTAATCGTTTAACTTGTTCCTCAGCACAGCAATTGCACATAGCCTGGCCGATCTTCCTATGGCAGGTGAAATGGTTTCATACTCTTTCTGACATGCGCATATGTTTTGCTCATACCGACATCGGCTGAAATATTTTGCATATGCATACTGTTTCGTCTTCAAACAACGATTCTCCACGATTGATTTTGAACAATTTTAATATTTACTCACGTTCCATATTTTACGAATTATGCTTAGCTTTTGAACACCAGTGTAGATGGAAAATGAAACGCTGTCGTTCGAAGATGTTATCTACTGGATCACATATGGAGCAGGTCGTACTTGTGCCATAGTGCATATCAGTTGTTTCTACAGTGTATCAGCGCCTATTTTTTTTCATGCCTGTTTGCATCAAAAGGGTGTTATGAAATCCAGTACTATACAAAATGCCTTACCATACCTTAAAAAGCAATAGATTTGAATTAATAAAACAAAGCGTACGTATGGCAACTGTGATAAGGCTTAGGGTTCATACTGACATTTAATTTATACTGAATTTACAAAAGAATATAAAAAATTCATTGATAAATTAAAACCTATATTTACTTTTATGAACATGAAATTATTTTGCTTCGTTTCTAAACTAAAGCATTAAATAGTTTTTGGACTTTTTTATTTCTAAGAAGATTAGGTGTATTGCTAAACAAGAAAACATTCTTCAATTATCAATTCTAGAATAATGCTCCCAAACCTATATCTTTGCAAGATCGATTTTAACCAAAGCTGCTAAATCTTCTAATGCTGTACGCTATTGTACATTTATTAGATAGAAAATGGAAGATTCTGATCTCTGCTTGACGAATCAAATTTAAGCAGTGCTATCATACACAATATACCGTTCAATTAGCCCAAAAGGGCAATTTTCCCAGAAGAGATGTTAATTTCGTTTTGGCACTTTGCAACAATTGCAAAAGTTAAATAAATATAACAATTAAATAAATGCATGATATCGCTACCGATTTATTCTAATATATTGACAAATAATGCTTATATTATTACATTTTGAATGGCGCATTAAAGTTGCCATCTTCATTAACAGGAACTTTTCAATTCATTATGCTACTGTTCCATTTTTTGCCATAATTTTCATTCCTTCAGTGGAAAACATTTGCTATGTTTTTAAATTGAGTGTTTTGAGTAGAAAGAATATGTACTAGATTATTATACTTATACTTGTATGCATCTGAAACAGTTACTTTCATCCTAGATTGAGATTACATGATATTTCATTTTACAGATACTCAGTTAACCTTATTAACTGCACAAATAAGTACAGTATCATTATGAAACTTAAGCAATGATTCGTACCCAGTACAATTCGAATACGAATGCAAAAGTACCAAGATAAATTACATCCATCTGAAATTCTTCAAATTAGTTTTAATACAACGCTGAAACAGCCTTTTATACAAATAGATATAGTTCTATTAATATATAATAAAACATATGCTGAAACATCATTTGAATGTCAGTGAAAACTTTAAACACGTGCTCAACATTATCACTACATTCACTGTCTAAACATCTTTAGAAAATTCACTTCATATCAAGTGATTTAAACATATACTGCGGCTCCCAAAAGTGTTCGTACACTTAAGGAATTTGTAGAAAAAGCACTGTAGCCCGAAATTGAATTCGAATAAAGCCCAATATTTTTTTCACATTATCTCCGTGTGATTTTGAATGAAACAAAACTTTTTTTCTATTTACTACTGACTTATTTTCGTTTTCTAAAATTGAAAATATAAGAAAGTATAGATAAGAGCCGCCACAAAAGTGATCATACACCGAAACAGTTTCGTTAAATTTCATAAATAACATTATAACGTTGCGCGCCTCCAACTTGCACGCAACCAAGAGGTGACTGTGAAAACTTGTATAAAAGATGGAGCCTTGTGAAGGGTTTAAGTCCCTTTATTCAACGTAATAAATTACAATTGCGTCCTCTTGACGCTTACAGACTGTGCCAACTTGGCAGTCAATTAAAAATAATAACCTGAAAAGAAAGTAAAGACAAGATTCTAACTACGAGGCTCTAAAATAACTAACTCACCGCGTTTTACAATACCGCTGCTAATTCAGCAGACTTGAAGCTCACTGGAACGATTACCACTACTTCCCGCCAAGCACATAGGCCGCAACGCGGGGTTCTTCAATTCTCGCTAACTACCTCCGCGCTCGCTAAGTAAGAATATCACACCGAACTCGTTTCCTTCTATTTAAATCAGAATACTTCCGCTGATAATTTGAATGCTTGCGCGTTCTACTCAAATTTACATATTCTGGCATTGGCAATTCCAGGGGAAAGTAAGGCTTGACAGGAAAGATGGTTTAAACTTAAAATAAATGTTAGTTAAAATAAATATAAACCCTACATTTGCCGCTGCCAGAATTTGGAAAACTTGGAAGCAGGTCCTACAAACGACCTGTTGTAAGTTTCTCTAATTCTGAACTAACTGGCGAGAACCTCGTTTACATAAAAAAAATATCTTATATAACCATTTGTATACTACAATTCTGTTGATCTTACAAAGCTCTCTTCTTACAGCAACTTTTCCTGGACTTCATCAATCAATCTTGGTCTTTCCTTCCAACATCTGGAAGGA